GTCCTGTTTTAATAGACTGTTTACAGACAACTTGCTGAAAATCACTCAACTCAATGAGCAGATGCAGCCAAATTTAGAAGCAAGTGAGAGTGTGCTGAAAATCCATGAGAATGGTCTATGAAGACATTTGGGTAAATAAGCAGTGTATGCAGTTTTATTTGGACATCTGGATGTATACATAATCAGTGAGAGTGTGTGCACTTTGTTGATCCATCATGTAATACCACTGTACAAGAGCCATGGACACAAAGCAGTTTTGGCTATAGAACTTAACACCCGTCTCCACATGTTGTATACCTTGTTTGATAATTGTCGGAACCTACCAAAACCCAGTTCGTACATACATAGGAATAATACTGCCTAACTAGGCTTGAAGCAAGTTGTCTGTTGTAACCTGAAGGTAATGTGTAGACAATGATAGGTTCAAGGTGTGTGGTATTCTGTAGCTGAGCTGCGTTCATGGACACAGTTATGTATTCTTAATATGTTGAATTAAAAGAACATGTAGATGTTCATCTTTATGCGGTCTAATGATTATTTGTATACATGTGGAAAAATATTTGTGTAAAGCACCGAAGTAAGGCTGACTGACTCAAAGAGAAACTCCTGTGAGATATAACTATGTAAATACAAAACTTTATTACAATCTTTGCATACAGTAGTATGGAAATACAGTTTTATCAATATGACCAAAAGAGTTAAATTAAATCCTCTGAGTTTCCACTGGAGGTAAATTGCTCCTCTGATGTTCGTGGCGAGGGCCGCAGGTCTGAGGAGGCAAAAGGAGGTTATAAATCTGAAACTTGCCCTGATACAGAAATATTTACACAAAGAAGGATTCACTCTGAAATAACACAAAAAGCAGCCAAACATCAGCTGATTCCAGCTCCTCCAATGTGAGAATTCCCTGCTGCTTCTGTTTTATTTGATTATAAACTGAATACCTTTGGGTTGTGGACTGCTGGTTGGAAAAATAATTGACATTTGAAGGTGTCAGCTGGCAATTGATCTTCTGACATTTTATAGACCAAACATATTTAACTTATCAACAAAACATATTGACCTATTAAGTGATAATGGTGCATAGTTGCAGTTCTGTTCACAGGCATGGTACTTATGGGAGGCCCGTGTAGAAAGCTGCTGACAACCTACAACATCCAGGCAAGTTGTCTGTCCCCCAGAAATGAAGTCTTAAATCTAATCACTGGTTGAAGCAAATGTTGTCCTTGTATGCAGTATACAGCCATTTTTTCAGTATTATTAATAGGTGCTAGGTCCTCCCTATTAGAATTGTTTTAATTAAGTCTCCCCACCTGTCTCACTGTAGTCCACCCTGGTGAGGAAGAGGCCGTGGGCCGGAGCAACCAGGTTATTTGGGTAGGCCATAGTGTCCCGAGCCTCCAGTATCTCCTTCAGCTGGGTCACTGAGAGCCGCCCCTTTCCTACTGCTATCAGTGCTCCTGTCATCCTCCGTACCTGCAGTATAGGGCCAAAGCAACCATTTATTAGTGAAAATATCACAAAAAGCAGTTTGCTCTATCTCAGACATTTTAAATAGTCCTTTTATGTTTAATGACCCTCAGCCATCACCAACAGATGGCGCTACTTACTTAGAATAAACAGCAACACAGATGCACATTTATAGACCTTTAAAGTAACAGAGGACAATAAGAGGGACACACCTGCTTATAGAGAAAAGATCTGGACTTAAAAGTCAGCTCCCAGAATGGTACCTCTCTGGAAAGAAACAAAAAAAAATGTTAAATTTCCACTAATGTGTGAAATCTTTGTGTTATCTGCATACTGGTGCAAAAGGTGCAAAAACAGCACATTCACAAAACTTCTCATGAAATAATAACAGGTCCTGACACTCAGAGGCGTCACTGACTGGATGTGCGATACAAAAGAAAGGTTAAATATTGCCACAGAGGTTAAAAGTGTTATTTCAGAAGAAAAGCAGCATCTTGAATTGTCATCAGATCTCATACACCAGTCAGCCATAGCATTATGACCATCTGGGCACCCTGGTGGTAATAATGTTTTGCAGCCCCATACCAAAAAACTGTGATGCACAGTGTGTTTTGACACCTTTTTCAGCAGTCTGAGCTACAGTAGCTTGTCTGTTGGATTGGACCACACTGGCCAACCATCACTCCCCACGTGTATCAATGAGCCATGACCCTGTCTCCGCTTTTGATAGGTACTGACCTCTGCAGACCGGGAAAACCCCACAAGAGCTGCAGTTCTGGAGATGTTGACCCAGTCGTCTAGCCATCAC